ACCAGCAGGTTCAAATCAAAGCCATGCGATAGCGCAGACCAACCTTGTCAAGAGGAGTGAGGAGTGCAGTGGAGAAACTATAGCTTCACTTGTTCAGAACAGCTGATTGATGTTCTCTGAAGCATGCATCTAATGATTAAACTGTTATTATCTGCCGCGTCCCCAAGCTCCCAAATTGGCTTGCTTCTCTGACATATTTTGTCGCAGCCGAAAATGGCATGAATGTTGAGATTGACACAGCAGAGTGAAAGCATTGGTGAGAGATTTTTGAACACAAAGGTTTTGGAATTTGTACTTCTTTTATCTTTTAATTTTTTTTAATTTTTCAGGTAACTTTCATGTAGACATCAGTAGCTACATGCAGACTACACATGGCTCAGATGAGGCAATGCATGACACATTTTGATGCACGTATAGTCTTTGCTAGGTTGATATATTTGGATACCGTCGTGCTTGGAATGTACAACCGAACGGAGGTTGTTAGGCAGCGTAACCCGATGTAGAACTTTAACTATGAATGGAAAAACAAAATAGAAAAATTCAAGTTCAAGGCCTATAAGACTGGAAAATAAAAGGAGACATACTGCACACTGCAGGGAGTCACTAGAAAACGTCATAAGTCATGATCTGGCTTTGGGCCCATTATACTCATTAGTTATTGAAAGTAAGGGATACTATTAACCAATTAAATCGACACAGAGGCACCTGAAAACAGCAGCCTGTTGTGTAGACAGAAAGTGTTTTTTATTACAATGTAATTCCTGAACGACTGTGAGGCTGCTTCATGACAGGGTCGGTTCCATTAGCCTGTTTTTGTTCAGTTTGGGAAAATTTGTTGGCCATTTGTGACAAAGTGTACACACAGTGTAAGTGCAATACAGGAGAGTGTATGTGTGAGTAATGCAGGTGTAGTCCGAGCATTCATGGCCAAGGTTTCATTTTGGCATTGGTATCATTTTTAATCTACATGTAAGCTACACTGATTAATTAAGTGCAGGACAAAATGTTAAAAAATGTATTGAAGTTATATTTCCATTAAAATTTCTTTTTTTTTTGTTTCTTTTTCGTGTTCCTTTTTTACTTTACAGGTTCATAAGGACTGTCTGAACAATGTTTAGAGGACGTCTGGCCTGAAGGTTCTGTGGAGTCTATGAAGGCCGTTCCGCTGGTCTGTCTTCGCAAGACTACCACCCGGGCAAAGCGGGTAATTTCCACAGGGCCCCTAAAAGCTCCAGATTAAACAATTTAATTGACAATTAGTTTGGAAATATGCACCACTAAATCAGTGTCAACTGATGTGATAAAGGCCTTAAAGTGGGTCCTGTTTAGCTGATTTTGAGGTGCTGTGTAAAGATCTGGTTTTAAGGCCTTCTTTATTTCAATTTAGTAATTATAGTTTGGCTATCATTCCTAAATTAATGTGTTTTATTGAATTACCACACAGTAAATCAAGGATCAGCTAGTATTCTTGCATTGTGCCTGTTGCACAGAGAATAAAGGTTAATTGGATCCTAACCATCAAATCCAAACCCTGAACTGGTGTACTCAATAAGAAGGAAAAGATTAAATCTTTTTGTTGTTGGATGTCATCATCAAACTAATTTGCATACATATAGGCTCGCAGCAGTTCAAAATAACAGCTAGACTTATAATAAAACTATCTACAATAACAATCAAATAGATGCTTCCTCTAAGATACTGCTCCACACAGCAGATACTTGACTTACAGCAAATAATCTCAAAATATATCATGGAAATAATGAAATAGTTTGGCAAGGCTGAGGCAAAGTTTCATTGTTTATAAGCGACACAGTATGTGTTTTACTTTTTAAGTGTTGATGTAAAAAGCGGACAGGGGTGTGTGTGTTTACAGAGGTGTGGACCTTAAACACCTGTCTCTAATAAGTGGAACATGCATTGGAACACAGGACTCTCCCACTCTGTCTCACACTCATTCGCTCATTCCCTGCTTCCACATTTGTCTTGTCTCATTTGCCGCCTATATAGCTTATCCCACTGCTCCCGCTCATATGTGGCGACACCCTACACAACAGCTGAGTGGCTGTGCATGGTGTTGTCGTATAGGGTGAGCTATTTGCTTTGGTGTGCGGGAATAATGAAATATAATAACTGCACAGTGAACACAGAGATCAGAACATCAGGAATACATATATATTCATAATTTAACTATAATCATTTGACTCAGTAACCTACAAAATGTAATCTCTTCTGGTTGCACTGACACAACACACGTGAGAGGGGATTATTTTAAACATGTCACTTTCAAACACTGTTAGCTGATGAATCAGCACTCTGAGCTCCTGGAGTTACTGCTGCAGTCATCTTTGGGGGGAAAAAAGGAAGGATTTTCATTGATGAAGTCCTAGATACAGCTGCATTTTGATGATTAATAGTTTGTTATTGAGGGAACAGCTAACTCTCAGGACAATATGAAAGTGATACGACTGCTAACAATGGCTTTGAGCGGCTGCTGCTCTGCCATGAAGTTCACTCTAAACAGATAAAGGAATAAAAGAGACAGACAGTTAAATATGTATTGAAATACAATCCCGTATAAAGAACATTTAAATCATTCAGCTCCCTGTGTTTCTCTCTCAGCTAAACATGCAGAGACAGGTGTTAAAAGGTGTTGATGGATGTCCTCGGAGGGACAGTCGTTCGTCTTCATAGATCCTTTTCTTTTGAAGGATTGGTGTCAAAACACTAGCTTCTAATGGATGACTTGTTCAGACAGGACCACAGATGTGTCTTTGACTGGGGTTTCTGTCTATAAGGGTTTGAACTCACTCTTGTAAATCTGGCCAACTCAACCTTTATAACAAATATAGCAAGTCAGTGAACATAGTTTTTTTTTTTAAAAGAATATTGATCTATTAGATTTAAGATGATATACTAATTATTTCATAGCATGTTACGTAACTGGTATATCACTGTGCAGATGAGATAGACTTATTAAGGGGAAAATACATGAAATAATGCATTTAAATGAATTAAAATGTATCTGTATGCTTTCAGTGATACCCAGCTGGAGGACACGGTTTTGATAAACTGTGATTATAACTTCACAAAGTTTCCCCACACCCAATCTGCAGGAAGGCCTGCCTTCAACACTCCCCTCCTATCTCCTGTTTGAATCTGGCCAGATTTGTGAAGTCAGCTGCTGCCTTTAAGTCTTGTAGGAAATATCTTATCCCTGAACTGAGCGATAAGGAATTAGCTGAAATCTGTCTTGAGGGACAATTACATATTTCATAGAAACCCTGTCAGAAACCCTGTTTGGTATGTTCTGTCAATTCACATTATGTCTGTGGATCAAGTAATCTTACTTCACTTCATATATCAAGTGTCAGTTTAGCAAGCAAACTTGAATGCTCCTGGTCATTCCATCATCTTAAATGCATCTGTACCTATAACTGTACCTTTATGGTAGATAGTTAATTGCAACAGAGCAGTGATGGTGTGAAAATAGGTCCTGTTTGTTTCAACAAAAACACATTTATATAGATATTTGATATATGATATTTTAAACCGGTGAATATCTGAAAACTACATGTGTTTGTACGTGAATTAATCACATGTTACATTCATTTCATACGTGATCTTTTTTTGTTACAGGATATCTCAAAATTCAGAGGTGGAAGAAGTATTCAGATAATTTACTTAATTAAAAGTACATAACAAAATGTATTTAAAGTATCCAAAGTAAAAGTACTCATAAGGCAGGGCGGCTATACTGTCATTGTTATATCATTATATAATTTGATCATTGCTAGTACCAATATGTAAGTGATACTTACCTAATGCGTTTGTTGTTGGTCAAGATAGAGCTTATTATCTACTTCAGAGTTGTATCTGTAACAGCAGATCATATTTTATAAGCGTAATATATATTTGTATGTAAACTTTAATTTGCAATGTAACTAACTTCAGAAAGTAAAGTACAAGTACTTATTTTAGATGTTTTTAGATGTACTTGTATTTTACTTTTTATTCTTTTAAATATTGTGCTACTTTATACTTATTCTCCGCTACAAATCACAAATGTATTTATTTATTTATCTATCTATATCGATCTTTTTATAGCTATATATAGATATATATCTATATATAGATAGAGATAGATAGAGCGAGAGAGAGGTAAATAATGTCAAAACCCGTTTGCTATATATATATATATATATATATATATATAGAGAGAGAGAGAGAGA